CGTCGTGCGCGCCAGGGAGGAACCTCGCTAACTTTTATTATTTACGACCGATATTTCAGCCAGCAGCGCGCATGCACGAGGCGGCCGTAAAGTGGCCCTCGGGACAACCGGTGATTCTTCAATTCAATTGACTCTCAGAAAAAGTCTCCGGGAAACGGCGAGGAAATGTATATCCCCTCGATACTCTCGATAAGATGGTCAAGGATGTGGGGGCTGATTATAGGGTTAACGCTTTGGAACGCCGTTGGTACGAACTGGCTCTGACACTGTTCACTAGGTGTTTATTTTTTCCTGATTATTCAATAATTGTTTTCTTACTTCTCGTTCTTTTAACTACAAAAATCTGGATAATCAACAAAGTTTCGTAACATTAACGTCAAATAACAGTAGTGCATTCACAATTGTTTACAATTACTTAAATGCATTAATATAATGTAAATAATTGTTTTCCCTCATAGTTTATGTACGATTAATGCTCATGTTCTACAAGAACAGTTGTAGTAGCATGGTAACGTACAGGTTACCGTAACTGAGACCGCAAGGAGCATGGCAGATTCATATGGTATTTCCTTGATATATCACTCTGTGCCATTGACTATAATAACTATAGGTTAACTCTTAAGTCCTTCAGTCTAAGTGTACACTCAATTTACAGTAACACCGAATAAAGTGTACTTTTGTTTCCTGAAATATCATTATTATTATTTCTTGTATTTAACTATGTGAAATAAATATGTATTTCTGAAACTTGTACCAACTTTTCTTTCCAATATTTTCTCTCGTACCAATAAACTCTATTTACGCGATTTTCATTCGCATAAAACGAATTCCCGTGGAACGGATTTTCGCATAAATTGAGGGTCAGGTGTACTTATACTGAGCCTTCACGTTTTAATCGACTACCCAGCAGATGAAAATGCACAGGGACAAGGGGAATAGTTCGCTTGCTGCACCTTAAGACCCGTATCGGTCCGTAGTGGTCATCTCAATCCCCTTTTGGTTTCATCAAATATTCTTCAGTTGTTTAAAACGAATGTGTTCACATTATGCATCTATCTATCTATCTTTGTTTATGGAAAATAATAAACTAGGGAAGAATTTTTAGCAGAGCGTGAGTGGGCCAATAATGAGTTTCGGGTCTAATTCTTCCAAAGTGGAGCTTCCGTAGCCATTGAATTCACCGATGTTCATTCTCTCTCATCGTATCTCACATTGTTCCATTTCATTTTGTTTGCGTTCTTGGTTATACGACTGTGTAAATAATAAGGATCTGTCGAAACTGAGACGCAAATGCGCAAAATAGTGTTGTAGAGGGCAACTGACCAATAGAAGGCTTGATGCTAAAGCAGCTGACTCGTGAAATTTAGGAGTCATAACCCGTTTCAATAGTATAGAGTCTACCGCAAACGATTCGAGATTTTGATAGTGGACTCTGAATCGTTGCTTACATCGCTGCACGTCTCAACGTGAATGGGGCCGTTTACTATAACTACTGAATCGAGCGTCATGAGTGAACGCTTCCACTTGACCACGTGTACTTTTAGCTTGTGAGTAGTTAGTCAAAATGTGAGAGGCACACTGTACATTATAATGTTTATTGATTGATCTGAAGACATTTAGACGTTCAAAGTATTGAAGTTATTGATAGTTGATAAATATCTACATTTTATAATGTTTTCTCTACTTTTTGATAGACTGACTCTGGTGAGTCGCCTTTACTGATTGAGACAAATAAAATTTGGATTTGGAAGGGTTGAAATAGTGAAACTTCATATCTGGATTTATTTGAACTTGTTACAGTATTTTCAGGGTTTCTATACGAACCTATTCATTACTATAAATAGTATGTCAGTAAAATGGAAAAATCAAAGTTGGAAGAATAAAAAGTAACTCTATGGATAGACATTGGTGATATACTACAAGCGTATTATTTTCTATCAGGAATGTTTATAGAATCGAAAAGAAGAATGCTCAGTTGTATTATCTCATATAATATTCCTTACACGAATACCTAAATACATACAAACAATCAGTCATTTATTATTTAAAATTGACATTACTCCAAATAAACGTTCATGTAATTTCAAACGATTCTACCACCCATAAAAATCCCGCAATAAAAAGATTATTTCAAACACCGCAAATAAAACTTGTCCAGGTTCGGCATATTTAATTTATCGAAACAGAAACGTTTAGGGTACCGGGTACACGTAAAAAATGGTCACCGATAAAAGGGTTACAATCCTGCGCAACCTTTTCTCCACATCAAAGCCTCAATCTTCCACGAAAAAGATTCGCGTAATAAAGAAACACAGTATTACATCGTTCAAACGTTTTACTGTCAGCCGAAAACGATCGCGGCATTCCGGCGTTCGTTAAGTAGAAGTTGCTCGATAACCGAGGCGGGCCATTATCCCGGCACGGTGTGTTCGCTGAACGACGATTACCGCGAAAGCGTTTTCTCGGGTGAACTTTTGATTCGGGACGATTAAGCACCGGTTAAATTATGGTTCACGATACCAATATACAGCCGGCACGGCTCGGCTCGGCTCGGCGCGGCGTGGCGCGGCAGGCACGTGTGCGTAAGAGGAGAACGCGTCCCGTGGGTTAATCGGTGTGGGTACATACGCGCGCTAGTGGAAAATGATTACGAGGTAAATGAAAGGGAAGCGGCACGGAGGACTCTCGCGGCGCGCCGGTGAGAATGGGCAGAACGTTTCGTTCTCGCCTGTGCTTTTATTTCATTTCAATGGCACCGTGGGATCAGCGGGTACATTAATGCTTGGCCGCGCTCGGTCGCTTGGCCGTGGGCGCGCGCGCGCGTGCACGGTCGCGACTACGAAAGACCAAAAGACCGGTGAGGGGATAATTTATAGGAAATGGGTTGTTCGACGCTCCGGAGTAATTTAATTAAAATAAATGTCCGTGCCGCGGAGGAACGTTACCCACGAACCCGCGGTCCGCAACTGCGAATAAAATGCAAATTCAGACCCTTCAACCGGGTTACGTATGGGTATTCGTAGCTAGGTAGATAAAGAGTACGAGGGGGATAGAGTCTCAGGGAGGGTCCGGTTCTTCTCTCCCTTCGGGGACCGATCATCGCTCGTTCACCCGTTGATTTGATAAGGGAGAGCCCTGAGAAACCTTCTCTATCTACTGACCACTAACGTTTTTCTTTTGAATACTTTAACATTTCTGTAGATTGTGTAATTGTTTATTTTATACAAGTAATTTAAACTTCGTTATTATGTTGTTTTGAATAGGTAGGTTTGATTTTGTCATTGATCCTTTGCGTTATGTTAACATGGCGTTGACATTTGATTTTATTTCATTAGTTACGTGTTTTAATCAATTCTTTATCTTAAATGTTTTAGATATCGAAATTTCACAAACGGATAGAAAAACATCTTTATTTTTATAGTAGAAACGAATGTTTAGATTTTAAGTAAAGTAGCTTAAATTAGAATAAATTGGTTTTCAAATACAGGTATTGTTAAGTAACACTAGGAACATTAACTAAGATAACGTAACAATGTAAATAAGAAATAAAATCAAAATTTAATTTGTACAACCATTTCAATAAAACGTTAGTTCTATTTTTATTTTTAAAAAATAATGCGCAAGAAGCAACAGTTTATCTTAATCAAAATCGGAATGTAATCTACTAAGATCTTAACTAGATTTTATAGTTTATAACATAAAACAAAAATTGTATAGCTTTCGTTTACTTAAGGCATAATAGCGTACAAAACAATCTGTAACATGCATTGCACGTTAATTAAAATAATTCACGATGAACAATAACTTGTTACTTACTTTTCACATGGTCTTTTCTATATAATTAAAAGTCATATCATAAAATTAATTACGAAAGAAACATATTCCAATAAATATTATACTTTTATTGAGTACATGCAAATCAATTTATTATTCAATGTAATAAACGAATCTTTTCGTCTCGTCTTTTCGTTTTTTGTCTTCTTTAAAAAATTATATTTCTTGCGTGGGCATATATTGATTTCGTTCTTTAATTTTATTTGAAATGGAAAGGAAATATCTTGAAGAGTAAAATATTTGAACATATTTCGCGTTTACGTAAATTTTTCTGTATTTGTAGCCTTTTCATATCCCTTTATAACGTTCGTTTGAGTTATTTGCTATATTTACGATATTCTCTTGGGAGGGACAAGCAAGTATAAAGGGTTAAGTTACACATGAACTAATTTATGAAAATACTAATGCGGTCTAGAATCTGAGTATATTAGATACTCCAACATTAATTCTATCGTATTCTTAAGAGTTTTTTGACTTAAGCATATTTACTTCTTTAGCGCCATTACATTAGTCTTTTTCAATTTAATCGAATTCCTATCATTCTACAAATGCTTATGAATTTCAGAAAAGTATTTACTAGAAAGTCGTTACAAGTGAATGTGTTCCTATTTTTCAATAACATTGCAGTAGGTATGATGATTAATTTGTTCCATTTTATTATCACGTTTCTATGATTTTCAGCGCAAAAAATAATAATGTTATGAACTCCATTCCTCAAATAAGGGATGTTTATCATTCAACTATAAGTTTACACTTTTAAAATAAATGAGTAATTATACATTAAAATTATAAAACTTAATGAAAATTTAAATAACCAGGATTCTAATTCATAATATACAATACGAAAAACAGGAGAATTCAATATTTATTAAAATGTTAAACAAAAAAGAATACTTGTTATAACAGATTATATATTATTGTAATAATATACAAAATATTTCAGACTATTATTAACAACTAATAATAATGTGCAACACAATTTCAACTGTATACCATATGTTACACGAACGAGGGAAATAATAGACGCTTGCGCGGCTTTCGTTAACCTCGGTGGAGGTTAGGTTCCCATGCATGAAAACGTTGCACGCGGAAGCACGTAAATTTGTTGAATTATTTCTGACGGTATAAAATACAATTGAGTAATTGAAGGATAGCTAGTTACTTACCTGATAACCAACGTCTTCGTCATTTTTTCCACACGTAACCGCAACGTTTAAGGTTACCACACAGAATTCCTTAGCGTCCCAAACGTATAACACGTTGTCACGAATTTCTAAAATGTTCCGCGTGTCTTTGATATTCTTTGCCAAATTGTTCTTCAACTCACGAAACAAAGTTCTCTCATTTAAATGCAGCGGATCCGTGTAAGCACTCATTTTTTACTGATTGAGGTTAAAACAGCGCGCAACGAACTAAACAACAACGAAGTTACCGTTTGAATTAACTGACGTTGAAGTTGCCAACATTCTACTCGTGAAAACGATTGGTAACACTGTCGCGATAACTTAGTCACTGAAGCGGTAACAGTTTGTTACGTTTCGCGGGTTCGTTTTATGATAATTCGAAGCATTGATTTTATAAAAAGAATAAAATTATTTATTTATTGCGGTCGAGTTTTAATAAAACGCACAAAATAGTGTTCTATATGTTCTTCTTCATGCTTGACAGCATTATTTCAGAAGTACCAACCGGAATTCCATTTATTAACCTTTTCAACGTAAGTAAATAATTGTTTAAGTTATTGTAAGAAATATTTTAAGAAAAAGAAAAACTATTACAATTAATATCTCCTTATTTCAAAGAATACTATAAATTTAAAGTATTTGATGTTCTAATTTCTATAGTAATAATTCTAATAACATTATGTAATGAAATAATCACGTTAATAGTTAATAATATTTTTAAACATTAAACAGTATTTTATCTTTGTTACTTACATAGCAAAGTATTATTCAGTTAATACGTATTGTAAAGAAAATATTCCACAACGCAGACTACTGTAAAATAATATATTGCTCTACAGTTACATTTGAATCTTATCAGTTCGATATATCGATTCTTATTATGCTGTATGAAATACTGATTTAAACATACCTAATCAAAATACATATTTGTACTTAGTATAACCGTTCGGAGTCTTCTAAAACTTTTTCTCAGTAAGATTGAAAGCAATCAATCTTGTTAAGTGTTTATTTAACACTTATGAACATTGTTAATTAAAAATTTTCAATTTGTAAACTTCTATTCCAGTTTGTATCATTAACAAATACTAAATTTACATATTATACATTAGTCATTGTTTTATAAATGATATAAATTGTATATATGTATTGTAATATAAGTTAGTACCATATAAAAGAGACTTACTACAGTGAAGCACTTGTAATTTAGCTGATTATTATATTTTTATTGTATAGCAAGAACAGTGCATAAATTAGTCGAGTACTGGTAACACATGAGTATTATAATAATTATTTATATACGTTTTTTCCATTGCAATGAAAAAAGAATTAAAAAAATATTAGAAGCAACAAATTTAGTAAATTATCAGAGGATGCTTCTCTAGGTCCCGGAGGGATTCGAACCCTCGATCTCCTGTTTACTAGACAGGCGCTTTAACCAACTAAGCCACGGGGCCATTGAAATTAATTTTTTTAAATGCAACTTATTTTATTGAATTTATTAAAATACTGCTTTATATTTTAACCATTTATTCTTGTATACTTATAGCATAGCACACACATTTTTTTATTTGATCAATTTATTATTACTCTTATAAATTGCAAAATAATTACATTGAATATTACATAACCTTTTTCTTATAAATACTTATATGTAAAATTATTATTACATATCGTACATTACTATCACAATATGCCTTTATTGTATTCATTGTTCCCTATAGAAATCGAAGTAAGCAATTGTTCTGAGTAACAGAATTTTGCTACCACTTATCGTTAATTTAATATAATTGGCAAAAGATTTTTTATCCTCAAGTAAAAAATTGTATTGAATATTATTAACCTTTTTACGATGGAACATAAATGCTAGCTGATTGTGTTACAAAGGCTTCTGGCGTTTTGAGTCCTTGAAAGCGGTACATATGCAGCTTCCTTTTTATGTTATCTCTTCAAGTGCAGTTACAAATTTTGCGTAATCTATGATAAACGTATTGAATCTACAAGTAAATTCAAATTATTTAAGAAAACTTAAGCTTATTTTAATAAGAGTTTCGTGTTTCTTAATTGGTAAACCTTTACGCAAATTTGTATTCTTATGAACTAATTAAAAATGATTAAAAATAGACATATATAGAATCTCACTTATTTTCGAAGTAATTTGCTAAATTACAGATTGAATGAAAACGTTACTAAGTTTTACGTATATTTACACTATAGTTTTTAAAAAGTGTGCGCACTATAAATGAATGAAATTCGATCAACCTTTTTCTTGTTGGCTTGTAGAAGTACTAAGAGTGATGCCATTATTTATTCTTATTGTTCAAACATTTGTAAACTTTATCCTAAAATCCTACGAATTTACGAAATATTATGTACAATGAGTAACCTTCTGTGTTTATCAAACTAATTCAAATGAATCATAGAGCAATAGACTTCAATCCCTTTGGCTGCTGCCCAGAACAGTATCAAATAAATTATTGAAAATATCGAATAGAACAGATGCTGGAAACTAAGAATTCATTTCTGTATCAGCGCTGAAAGAAGGGTTGGTTTAGAAGAGAACGATAATGCGTGGTGTGCTAACTGGGAAATAGTCTGGCAGTTGTGTCGAAGCTATATGCGGTTAATTAAATGGGGTTGGCTCATTAGTAACTGTCTATATGCAAGGCGATGGTCGAGACGCGATTGGAGGGTGGTCCCAAGGTGATTTATCCGTCACGATGGATCGCAGATGTTCGACTGGTACGTGGCATGGGTGGCCACAATGCTGTAATTAGGAGAGTGTTTCGTTCATATGCATGCCTAATGAAATCGTGTATTCTTGTTTTTTTCGATGATGGATTGTCGACAACACTCATTGTCACGCAACGTCAAAAATTAACACATGACATGATCAACTCCCTTTTCTAATTTTATGCGTGATCCTTATTGACTTTTTATGTAGGTTAACTAACTTAAATTCTATATTTATACACACGAGAAAAATAATAAAATTAAAACTTACAGTGGTGAACATATTCTTGGTAACACTTTCGGTAGATCAGTTTCTATATGTTGGTAATGTCATATATGAAGAATGTAAATTAATTTCCGCTGTGCTTCATTTAAATGGCAATTTTATAGTATAAAAATTCAAGTTAATTGAAAATTGATTGAGGTATTGAGATAGGTAATAACAAAAGTAGCAATTTTCACTTGGTATCTTACATATTTATCATTAGAAAAAATATATTTTTGTCATAAACGTAGTCCTACTTATAACAGTGAAAGCTACTATAAATGATGGTACAGTTCTACTTATAAGATTGAATTTTTGTAAACGATATATGATGGACAGTTTACACATTGATTTCATTATAAATATGGAGTACAATTTCATCGTAAATATAAATTGCAACTTTAAAACGGTTAATTCCAAACATTTGGTGAATCAAATGACGTGTATCATGATTCTAATACATTTTGCAAAGTCTGAAAGATATGTGTGTCGGTTTACTTGTCAGTAAATACTTCGATTTTCCAAGTATTCTAAATATATTTGAGTCTGGAATAATAATTATCTACATATTCTAAACCTATAACCGACGTGTGACTTTCTGTTGGTACCGTCAGAGACCAGTGACGCTCGAATAAATTAGTCACTACAGTTCGTTTGAGTACACAATAATAATTCGTAAACTTTTCAACAAAATTTGGAACAAACGCAAACAAATTTTCCATTGTACTTTAAGTGCACTTTGAAAATAATAAATCCATAATAGCAAAACAGTTTTTTATTAAATTAATCTAGAAATCTTCAATACGAGTCTCACTCGTCATTGTATGTGCAAGGGGTTAATGATATTAAAAGCAAAATTTTTATGACATGAAAATTCATTCTCGATGGCCTTTAATGATTAAGTTACTTATTCATTAGTCGAATTTGAAAAAATCTATTTTATAGAGTGAATATGCGTATAAAAGAATTCTTACAGAATAAAAAATTACAAATTGGTGTGTTGATGAAACGTGTATATTATAAATTAGTGGTTTCACGGCTTGCCTAGACGCTCCGTTACACTATCCAATTGATCCTAGTATTAGGCCAGGTTTCTAAGAACACTTACCAAGAGAAGACACTTTGGTTTGGGCATGCTGACGTTAACGGCCTGTTTAAATTGTGCGTTTAATTACAAGTAAGAGACAGTCGCCAGAAAATTTATCGGTCACCGTTACTATCCCCTTCGTTCCTAATCTACGAAGCAGATACCCATGGCTAAATAGAAGAGAACAAGTCCTTCGCCCGCAATAAGACGTTTCTCGTTGCTTTTTACTGCCCATTCCCCAGAGGATGATTAGATTTATCAGAAACGTATGTGAACAGGCTTGTAGACAATCACACATAGTTGATAACAGTTAACGTTTATTCAGGATTCAATGATTCTTACAACTATAGCACATAGTCTAAAAGATAATATGAACTCTTCTAATAAGTTCAAGAGTAATATTTATAATATTTACATACAGTGAATATCTCGTTCAGGGTCACAGGAGTATTTATACCCCCTGAACTGCCGAATTTGAATGATTGATATTTGTTTGAAATGCAAGTTTCAAAGTTCTTATCAACACGAATGTATGTCGGAATTACGAAGCTTCCAAACTTATACATACTTTATTGGAAAATAACATGTTAGTATAGCAAAACTGTAATTTTACGTAAACAGGAATAAAATTGGTCCCACAAGCATGATAATTTAAATCATCCTCATACCTGATCGTTTTAAAAGTATTATAAAATGCAAAGAAAGTTCAACCAAATATGAGTTATTAATACATTAATTGTACTATTAGCATAGGTAGAATACTCTTGTGAGACCAATTTTCTCCCGGTTTACGTAAAATTACATTTTTGTTATATTGACATGTTGTGTTGCAATCAGATTTATATGAATTTGATTATATAATTTAAAATTTATATAATGACACAAATTTTTTTCCATTACATTAAAAGACACTCAGTCTCAGGTTCAGATTCATTTCTCGATGCCCTGAAAGCAACCTATTTCCCAATTTCTAAGAAATATTTACACAATCACAATGATTGTCAAACACGCTTAAACATTTATAATTAGTTGATGCATACAACAAATAAATGACCTCGGAGGCATTTCGTATCCACTATGTTCGAGGGTCTTGTTCCTTATTGGATAGAAATTTACACCCATAAATCCAAGCGGTTTCCGTTGAGAGGTTGAGCGTTTCTCCCAAAAGTTTGC